TTCTCACACACGTTTAGGTCGGCCCTCGCAGTCTGACACTGCGCCAGGAAAATCAAATGGTTTTTCAATTCTACTCAGGTGGTCGATTCAGGTCGCCGAAGCTGTTAAATTGTCCCCCATAAACTACCAAAAATTATAAAGGTCAGGCGTGCATGATTACTCCTTTGAGAATTAACCTGAAGAATATGGCCGATTCTACTCGGGTGGTCGGTACAGTTCGCCGAAACTGTTAAATTCCCCCCCCACACATCCAGGAATGACTCAAAATCAGGCATGCATGGTTACTCCTTTGAGGATTAACCAATGGTGTATAGCAGCCTTAACAAAGACAACTGGTTTTTGACGGTCTTTGTGGGGTGAGTTCGAACTCATTCCAAGAAGTGATGACTCATTTGCCCGGAGGTAATTGCTTGTATTTTACAACCGTTAAGGGTACAGATTTGAAGGGCGGCGTTCGCCATACTAAGTTCGCACACAATCCACGACTCACTTCGATCTCGATTTACCTACAATCTGGATTGTGACTGTCGCTAGTCGAACGTCGTGCTATTCGCACAGGCAGTCCGCTTGAGAAGAACCCGGCTATTACACGCAATGATAAAACTGACATAACTACGCTGTAAGTCACGAACACCAGCAAACAAAATGGAAGTTTTGGTTAGAAATAAATATAGTACTTTTTCTTGCAATATATCTAATAACAGATGTCATCGCCTTTGAAAATACAGTATTTTTTTTATTTCTCTGTCGATAGCCGGACACGTGTTCCGCAGCCATCTTGTATTTTCTCGCGCGCATGGGATTGTGGGATCTAGTTTCGAGAACTCTCTCCAGTCGATCGCGATTGAACCTCGTTTCAGTCGAGATTGAAACGGTCGAGAGCGTTTGCACCGCGGAACTGGCTTTTAGTCACAATCTAGATCGAAATGCTCGGTGCGAGCGGGGTATTAGTATGTTTGTGACACGATTTTGTTCAATTTGAAGCTTAATTACTCGTGTGTGTTCTGTCGAAAATTTCTAAAATTTTGTGGAAAAATTCGTCTATTAGGGAATTAATACTATTAAATATTGTTGGATGACGGTCAAGAGGGTTAAGAGATAAAGGGGGGTCGTGAGTCGGGAAAGACTTCGTATAAACTTTTCTTTTTATTGGTATTTACAGTTGTTTTAGAAACTGATTCTACCATCAAGAATAATTATTTTTATGGTAATTAATAGTATAAAAATTATTTTTTAAAGTAAAGCCTCATAATAAATGGTGTCTTACACAATTTTAAACTTAAATATTTCCTTTTACAATAAATAGAGAAATTTCTCATAATTAACAAAATTACTCTTGTTGATTTATAATGTGAAATCCGGAATTTTTGCCGAATTTTTCGATTAATATCCCGCATTTTCCTAAACCCCCAATTAAAACTTCCTTTAGAACCTAAACTAAAATCTAACAACAAAAAGGGAAAATTTCCACTCTCCCCTTTCGTTTAAAGTAAACATCCGTCCATTTCGACACTAATCTCACATTCCAACTTTAAAGTTGATAGTTAGCATGGGCCCGGGGACAACTTTGACCCATCCGCGTACCTTTTACCTCGCAACAATTGGTCACCTGACCATTCTCCCACGACGAAACTATAAAAGCCGCTTGCTTCCCCCTCTCGGGGGAGTCGTTCATCCACCGTCACTTGAATATTGTGTCCTACGAATCTTATATTCTATGAATACTGTGTCCTAAGAATCCTACGTGATCATACGAATATTACGTCTAATCGTATTTTTCTCAAAGAGAAACATATATTTTCCTCAAAGGATTATCATCAGAAAGAGGTATGGAACAAATTTTTGTGAACTCTCTCTATGCCCTTCGCGTTTTAGGGACTCAGATTTTCCCCTCGATAGTAGTTATTGTAGTATATATGTAGCTAATAAATCGTTGTTTCCTTGTTAAATTGGTGTCCTCTTTTACTCGTATATCGCCTGTCATCTTACCGACGGCACTCCTCCCTCCGCCACTCGACCCGAAACATTAAATCCCATTACAGCGGGAAAAAGGAAAAATTTTTTCATCCATCCTGACAGTGAGAAGATTTAACAACCTGTTGCCGGACCAGGAAGACTTACAACCTCCCCGGCGGTTCACAATAAGCTTCTAGAATATAGACTTAAATAATTATGTTATAAAAACCAATTCAGTTTCAACTAATCAATATCACTTCCTTAATGATAACTCAACATTAAATATAAGAAATAACTTAAGAGTTATTGATAAAAAAAAAGTTGCATATAGATATAAACATCAACTAATGTGAAATGAAATATATGCTGGAATATAATATCAGAATCCCCCAACCGAATTTTAGAGTTCAAACACAGAACAATAGAAGCTTACCTACCGTTAGTTGATATAAAATTGTTTCCCCCTCATACTATACAGCCTTAAAAAATTTTTAAAAATGAAATTAAAGCGTTTCGATTACTCGCAATACCTTTATTGCTATTATAATTTCTATCGCTTTAAGCCAGTGTTTTTCAACCTTCTTGAATATGCGACCCCTTTACAAGTTAAAAACTTCTGGCGACCCCCCAGAACCATATTAAAACCATATCAGTGATTTTAAAAACTACATACTGTATTTATTTTCTTTCTGTTGAGACCTAAATATCGCTCGGATAACCTATTATACTGTAAAATAAGCAAGTACAGCTTTCTCACTGAAATTGTAGGGTTTTTTTGTTGTAGTGTGAAACCTACAAACACTTGTCTTTTTCTTTTACCCGCGACCACCCCGTGTAAGACTTTGCGACCCCCCTGGAGGTGGCGACCCAGAGGTTGAAAATTATTGCTTTAAACAATAACCATAGAATGTTAAAATATGTGTACCCGTCCTTTCAANTGTAATAGAACCGATCTGTGTAAATCTTCTCATTTTCAAAGTTGTTTGTCTGTAACAACACTACAATGGAGATGTCTGAACTTTACTCCCAATTATATATTTCTGTATATAAGATAACAAGATGTTATTCCGCAATATTTTAAAATAGCAAACAAATTTTCGTTTTAAATATCAGGTGATTATTACATTATAAGACTATACTATTTTAATTATCAATATTACTACACCAAAATTGTTAGTATATAAATGTGTAAAAATGTTATTTAAGTCTATATTTTGTACTACCGGATACGTTGTAAACACAACTGAAAAGGAGTATAATATTTTTTTGTTGAGTTTTCTAATGGTAGCTGTATTATTTGTTAACTAAGTAAGTAAATGTCTCTTCAAACTGAAATAAGGAATCCTTCGGTAAACTACCTCACAGCTATTTAGGTTATAAAACTCCTTTTTTGTTTTATAATCTGAGTAGCATTGATAGAAGAGACATTTACTTAATTAAGGATTAACCTATAATACTTAAAATGCATATTCTGTTCGAATAAAGCCTATTTTACTCTATTTCTCCTTTTTCTTGTATTATAAGTCCGTTATAGCGATTTTATGATCGCATAGAATGCAAAATTTGTCTTTTAAAGCTATTGTTATATAAATTTTCTTTCGTAGTTTAATTGAAAATGATCGAACCTTCTTTCTGATCCTCATTATCAGCCCGTTCGAGTGACAGGAAAATCTGTTAGAACAATTGCTAGCTTTTTACTTTCTTACTAAAGGCGCATTAGATTTAACGAATTTTTTCACAGTAGAAAAAAATTCCTTCCTCTAATTATTCTGTTAAGTCGAGAGTTTGCCGTAATTTGCATTATTTTATTTTTTGATACAATTTACATTTATCTACTGAATGTATATTTAAAATTTTATACAAAATGCTACAGTAATACTATACAATTTTCTTACTATATTGTTCTATTTTTAATCTTTTATTTTACCAAAAATTTCACTCAGAAATTTGTAACAAGTACTGCACGAGGAACTAAACCGTCTAATTCAGTTTTTCTCAATTAGGGAACGATTAGTAACAATTTATATTTCGGGGCGGAGAAAAACAATTTTCTGGGAGATATAGTAAAACATTATATTAAGAATAATTACACATTTTATTCTTTATATAGTACAGTAATTGCAAATTAAACAAATAACACTTTACTAGTCCCTAGACTATTCAATGCAGTACAAATTTGGCGTTAGCCTTGGCCCTCGGTATCGGAATTTTGAAGTGAAGAGGACGATACTACGTAACGTTTTTATTGAAGGGGGCGATACTACGTTGAAGGAAGTGACGATTCGTTAGAGGTTGAAAAACACTGGTCTAATTATATCACGTGTGGTATAGTCGAACTCATGGACCGAAGCTTTTCTGTTTATAGTCCTACGACGTCGTCGCTTTCACCGCGGCGTCAGAGTGATTTTATGGTCAGGTGATTGTTTTTCTTCTATGATCTGGTGATATGACCCTTCTTAAAGATCCAATATACATTTTGTCCATCTCTCTAAGCACTATTGCTTGTAGTTGGTGAAATGGCGACGATCGACGACGACGATTTGTTGACGTTAGGCTTTGATTTGTTCGGCTGATTCCATTTTTTGCCTATTTGACAGAAATTTAATAAATAGACGGAAATGTAATGGATACCATCATATTCACAACGTTATAATTTCAATAAAATCGATTGAATTGTTATATTCTTACACCTATAAAACTCTATCAAACAGCTCTCTGTTTCGTAATTCCAGCGTAGCCAAGTAATTGCCGAAACCAGACAAAGATCAAAGTACAAACACATATTATAGACATATATATTATAGAGCGCGTTCCATCCGAAAAATTAACATGTTTGATCCGAGAGACTTCGAAGTAATCGCTAATTTACCTCGAAGGGGTGTAACTAACAATGACGTAGAGTCAATCGCCGCGCGATCGTTGTTCAAACGAATTTCTTTCCACGTCATTACCGATTAATTTATCGTTATATCTAATTGTTCGCCTCGAAATTAAAAGTCACGTTACCAACTGATTATTTCTTACTCATCATTACTGTTAACAACACAGCAATACGCCAAACCAGTTCGTTATATCCACGAAAAACCAGTCGATTAATAAACTTCGTTACGAGGGTCGAAGGACAAATTTCTTTTGATTTATATTTAATTTTTAAAATATTATATTATTATTTTATTTATAATTTATTCTTATTTTTAGCAGTACAGAATAAGCAACCAATGTAAAATTGACAATATTCAACAGTCACGAGATTCACTAAAGTTAACAAAAATAGTACGAAGAGTTAATAATTTTTTTCTTTACAGACAGTTGCCAAAATGGAAGAAACAACGGAAATAGGTGCAATATCGCCACGTGGTTGCACTTTAGTCACAAAATTGCCAGAAATAATGATTAATATATTTCAATACTTGAACGACGCAGAATTAGATGCATGCAGCCAAGTGTGTACCAAATGGAGAGATATCATCGAAGACATAATATATGACCGAGTAACAATGATCACAAGGGTAATTATTATAACAATATTTTGTTAATTAAAACTTATGTTTATATAATTGCTACATAAACGCTCAAAATTCCAAAATCAATTAACATAAATAATTTCAAAGTTAAGGAATTTAGTTTAAAAAATATTAATTACTAAAATGGCGGATTGTACTTTCTGATTTTGTTAGAATTTGTATAATTTGTGCGTAAAATTGTGTTTTGTCTTTCTGAATCTAAATATTTGTAGATTTCTCAGTCATCGATGGATTCAGTGCTGTTTCTTTCCTCAGAATTCGTTTCTCTACGTGAGATTGTTTTTCGTTTACCTACATTAAACCTCAATTTCGTCAATAGAGTAAAGGTGTGTGACTTATAATAGGAAATTTACACTATTTATCTGAGGATGTGTGGTTTTATGTAGTCAATGCAAATGACATAAAAAATATATAATGTGTTTTACAGCACAAAACCAGAATGAATTAAAACAATCTGTGTGAAAAATACTTTGTCTTGAATTGTTTTAACGTACAGTACGTAATAAGAAATCAGATTAGTGTCGTTCTCTAGTGTTGCGTTGCTTACTGCAGACGTGTAATAACTGTTTGAACATTTTGTATTTGTGTAATGTATCTAAGAACCATGAATGTAAGATTGCTTTCCTGTAATTTATGCTTAAGATTTCTATTGTTTGTACTGTACAATTGTCATAGAATGACTGAATGTATAATTTTTTTTTGGCCTCCATATACTTTCTAAGACAGCCTTTTTTGTTGTTTAAAGTTGTAATAATGTTTAACATTTTGAAAATGTTTAAAGAAACGTCGACAATTGATTATTCTTTTTAATTTCGTATTCGTTCAAGTATTAAGTTTGAACGTTGTCTTTTGAACAGTGAAGTAATGCTTTACATTTTCGACTTTGAAATCTTATCAATTAAACATATTTATTGTGTATTCATTTGTAGAAAAATTAGTTCAAAACTTACAACGAAATGCATATCTTTCTAGACACTTACTTGAATACATTTATACAAAGATACTTTTGGAATTATTGAATTGAAGTAAAATAATTTTTCATTAATTACATTATTTAAATAAATTTACATTTACTGTAAATATTCTGATTTATTTAAACAGAAAATTCCTCTGATTGCAATAAACTCCGTAGTCTGCGAATCGGAACAACTACGTCCCTACTTTGGGTTCGACGAACATTTTCAATACAATTGGTTCGTTTTCGGAGATGAACCTCAACGTAAGATTCACTCTACTTATAATCGTAACGAAATCGTGGAATCTATGTATACACGTGATACTTCTTCAAGTCGTAAATATATGGAATTTACGCATGCATTGTGTAGTAAGTAGCTGTAGTATGTAAGTTTGAAATTATTTATTAATCGTTAATAACGATTACGTCTTCGATTCCAGGAAATGCAGACACACACATTTTTCCTGCACATTATAAGTTCTCATCAATAGAAGAAACAACTGAAATACAAATATTAATGTTTCCAAACATTACGGGTTTTGATATTTTTAATTATCCGTTCGCATTCTTTGGAAACGAATCTATATTTTATGACAAGTCAGATTTAAAGAAGGAAATAAAGAATGTATGCCACAAAATGAATATTCCGGACGAAGAAATAAAATGTGTCATCTTCTACAAAGATTTTGCAGTGTATTCGTACCAAGACAAAACTAAACCTTCTATAAACTTTTCAATTCACAGAGATGTGGGCAGGCTAACAATATTTTATGGAGAGAGAGTGAATGCTTTTTCTGTTTATATTTACGAATTTAAGTCTGGTTATACGACAATCAAAGAGAAATTGGAAAGGCTGAAACATTCTGTACTCAAAATGGTAGAGAAGAGATGTTTCGCGTATATTTTCCATGAAGCATGTATAGAGTGCATCGATACAGCAACTCGAGCATTTAGAGAAGTGTTTCATCTAATGAATTATGTTACATATAACTTTTTACCCTTGTATTTATCAATCATTCCAAGCAAAAAGGAGTTTTTTCATGTAGAGGAGGACGATTTTATTCCCTGCACTACATTAATGGTTTTCGTGTGGTGGAAATAAATTTATTGTATTAAACTCGGTTTGTTAGAATTGGGCATTTAATTGTCTTTGATTCAGTGTATTGTTCTACACCAGAGGTTCCAATCCTATCTGCACGTGGGCCACACCGAATGTCTTAGTACTTTTCAATGGGCCGTTATAATCATTTTTCTTATTAAAAATGGGCAAATAACTACGTATGAATTTTACTGTGACCATAAAATTCTATAAACTGCAGAGTATGAAGTTACCGTTCTTTATTCTAATACCAATTTTCTAAACGCGATTAACATAATTGAAGTAGTTTTAGTTAAGTAATGTCAAATACAGTATATCAATATCTCAATTTTTTTAAAAATAATTTTTGGATAATTAGCCCAATTTTTGACAGTATCACACAATATTTTCGCGGTACCCGTCACAAGGTAAAGACACCATCAAAAGTACAGGTCTTTATATATTGATGTTTCGTATTACAAAAGAAAAGAAACATTAATTAACTTATTTACAGTAACTCAGAAACATCATAAGCCCTTATCTCTGGTAACTACTGTAATTGACAAAAAAATGTTCATTAATCTACAAAAATCTGCAGAAAAAGAAATAAGGAACTTAGAAGATGTTATTTCGAAAAAAATTCATTAAAGGAAAAGGCGAAAAAAATAAAAAAATTTAAATTGCACGAAACAGTTTCAGCCAAATATGAAAATCAATCGCGTAAAGGAATTCAAAATGAATTAGAACGTTTGTAAATTTAGNCTTTGTGCAAAGTATGTGAATTGAAATAGTAGGCACTTATTAATATTAATATATACTGTACTATAAATTAAATTTATTTTATTGTTATAACTAATAGCCAAGGATAAAATAAAAAGTTTTAAATATCAACTTTTTTCTACTTGGTTGTTGCGCGAGGCCCCTCCAAGAGCGAGGCCCCGGGCGATTGCCCTGCTCGCCACCCCCTAAGGCCGCCACTGACCGTTGAATATACAAACGTACGGTATATTAGAGATTACAGAACTCATTTAATAGTTATTTATATGTAACATATGCGTACAACTCATAAAAAATACAAAAAATAAGTTAAAATATAACTGACGGTGACGACTGGAATAAATAAGTGTTAAAGGGCAGCGTTTATGGTAGGCGCTTTTGGGCGTATTATAATTAATAATTTAATTTCTTTTCTGAAGTTTAACCACCAGGAGGTGTGAATATAGTACAGAAGTGGATGATTTAGTGTTTGTCGGTTTGCAGTGTTTATGATCGAAGCTTATCGGCAGGTAAGAATTATTGTTTGACAGGTAAGAATATTGGTATTATTCGTCATTGTCTGAAAGTAAGACCTATTGACCAGTAAGTCAGTAGGATAGTAGATGTAAGATTTTTCTCCGTGGTTAATTGGAGGAGACGAGGAATTTGGAGTTACTTCAGGGGGAACTTGATATTAAGGATGGGATATCTTTATTAATTCAACTAAATTTAAAGCAGAATACTAAATTGGAAAGAATGATTGCTAAAATCGACAGAATTTTTACCCGCGCAAAAAATTTGGACGAAACTATTGTTGATTTAGAAACTAGACTTGAGGATTTAGAGAAAAAAATTTGCATACGACACGGGAAAGGTTTTATCGGTTGATGGAACGGATCTGGAGTATAAATTGGCCAACTTAAGTCAGGAGCGATTTGAGTGTTTTTTTAAGGCGCAATAATTTAATAATTTCTGGATTACCTGAGTTGGAAAATGTTAACTTGCAGGTTAGAGATGTCGTATTGGAGTTTTTTCGAAATTAAGTTTCGTTCACGTTACTTTAGAGTGGTGCTATAGATTGGGTCAACAACAGAATGATAGAACAAGGTTGATTTATTGTAGTTTTTGACAAGTTATGTCTTTATAAAATCGTATTACCAGCTTAGAAGTATGAAGGAGTACATGGCGTGAGTTGATATTTGGCACAGAGTATTAGGTGTCTAAATCATTTGCGCATAAAAAAATCCAGACTCATAGGTGGTCAGGGGACCGAGAACCGAGTCAAAATAAAATAGAAAATGGCAATCCTCTTCTACAAACAAGAAAAACAGGCATTTCATCCCACCGAAGTCAGGTGGGGGAGAGTACCACTCACAGTCATTCTAAGAAGTGAACTCGGATCTTAGGACTGAACACGTAGTTTCTTCTATGTTAAATGAAATTTGTAATCTAATTTTGTAAATTTGGGAGTGCTTCAAATATGACGTTAAAACGGTTTTATGTCGTTACAAGTGTGTTTTTTTTAACATTATCTAGGATAGTAAAATTGTTGGACCGATTAAAATTTGACGTGTAGGGCAGAGGGCGCCACCGCGTGACCTTCGCCCTTTGACCTCACTTTGCTCCTAAACTGTAACGAGGAGAGATATTTTTTAACTTTATTTAGTTAACCTTTCAATTCGACAGCCGTGCCAATCTTGGATATATATTATATCTCGACACTATTGTAAATATCGCGTAGCCGATACAAATTAAATAAATTATTTGCGTGGATCATTTCTCAGTTAATTTTTACCGGCAGAACACGTCGTCGAGATTAATGTGCACATAACGGACAGATTTTAGCCACGCCACTAAAGACGTTATATTTTGGTTGTCGTTACATCCAATGACGTTATAATCGGGTTAAACTATATTATGTTTGTGCAAAATAAAAAAATAATTTCGGACGATGCAATAGCCATGATTATTTTTTTCAAAAACGGGGAATTTTTGTTACGCATTAACAAAAATTCAACCCTGGCCGTCGCGAAACGAAAAGAAATTTCGACATTGGATAGGGTATATCTGGATAGGTTAATTTCACCGAAAATGCATCGTGGTGTTAGTTATCTCGGTTAACCGCGTCGATCTTTCCACCATTAAAACACCAGGTGATTGTATTTTCTCACGTTACTACCGGACGAACTGTTATTTGCTGATAGAAATGCGTCTTGGCGGCGGTTGCCGCAAAAGATAAAATTCAACCAACGATTCATAGTCAGTCAGTATTAACGTTTGAGGTGTTGTATTATTTAATTAAATCCTCATTTTTAGATTGGTGCCGAAGGCCGGTTGGAACTTTTAATTTTTTGTGGTTTGATACAGATTATAGGTTGAGTATTGTTAGAAGAAATCAGGTGTTGAACAGGATGAGACGAGCGAAGTTTGGAAATAATGTAGCTGTGTGTAATTTTGTTAAATTGCGAATCACATTACGTTTTTTATGTACAGCTAAGAGAGAACTTTTTTAACAGAGGATTAATAAAAATTTGGCGTCAGCTGATAGTGAAGAGTTCTGGCGATTCATTACTTTTTTTGTTAAAAGAAAATATAGGGAGCTTCCAGATCTTGATTTGGTAGCTTATTTTTCAAGAAAATTTCACTCTAGAAAATATTTAACGGATATTTCTGTATATAACTGGTGTGTGAATTGGTAGGATGACGTGTTGGATAGGGAGATAACAGAACAGGAAATCAAAAAGTTTTAGTTACTATGAAAAACGATACTGCTCTAGGTATTTATAGTATACCGGTGGAACTATATAAGTACTTCCAGGCTTGATTAGATATATGGTAGATTTGTTTAATAATGTTTATTAATCAGGAATGATCCCATTGGATTGGAGTATATGTAAGATTATTCCTACATTTAAAAGGGGGCTTAGAGATTTACTTGATAATTATAGAGCAATTTCGTAACCACCGACAATTTCTAAAGGTTTTTGTAAAATTTTATGTAAGCGATTGGTAACTTGGTTGAATAAATTTGAAGTATTCTTGGATTTCCAGGTTAGATTCCGTCCGGTTTCTCGACATTGAATAATATTTTTTTGTTTTATATGCTTTAATTCAAAAGTCTTTAAAGAAGAAACGCGGTAAACTTTACGCTTTTTTCGTTAACTTGACATCGGTATTCTATTCTTTAGATAGACCTTTTTAGTGGGGACAGCTTTTGAGGATTGGTTTGAGTTATAAATTTGAAAATTTCTTGATTAAGTTATATAGCTACTAATACAGAGATACGTGTGTCTGGTAAGGGGGGGTACGTCTGATTTTTTTCACGTTAAAAGGAGTGAAACATAGTTGTGTATTGAGTCCAATATTGTTCAATTTATATCTAAATCTACTTCTAAGGAAATTTAGTGAGTCCGAATTAGTGGTCATTGATCTTTTCGGAACGGAGGTGAAAATCCTGACATACGCAAATAATTAGGTTGTTACGGCAAACTCGCCTATAAATCTGCAGAGTGTGATTGACTTTTTGGGATATATACTACAGGAGTTGAAACTTTCTGTTAATATTGATAAATCTAAAATAATGGTATTCCGAAATGCAGGAAACATTCTAAGAATGAAAATTGGTTTATACAAAATTGTAAAATAAAGATTGATGATATAATTATTTGGGTGTATTATTACAGTCTAATTGGCGTTTAAAGCATTTAAAGTTTATTCATAGTATAGTGAAAATTGGAACAGACGAGATTATTAAGGCTTGTGTATCTAGTAGATTGTTACGCTGGAAAGATAAATTAAAATCATTCGAGTCATTTATTCAGTGAGTAGTGTTATATGCAGGGCTGTGGAGTCGCGTAAAAATCTACCGATTCCGACATTTCCTTACCCTCCGACTTCGACTTTTCCTTATCATCCGACTCCGTTTCATATACATAACAAGTTGGTTATTAAAAGGGAGTCGGAGTCGGCGGATTTTTTGACGACTCCGGCTAAAACACGAAAACTCTCCGACTCCGACTCCACAGCCCTGGTTATATGGGTCAGAGATTTGTGGTTTTGATTAGAGAAAGATCATAATTTACAAATTAAACGTTTATACTCTTTAAAAGGATGGAGTCCATCGTATATTATATATTTGGAGTTCCAAAGGGTCCCTCTTTAGTTTAATATACAGTAATAAAAAATAATTTAAGATTATTTTTTATTACTGCAAACAGTCGGTTAATAATAATTTAGCAAACTCGGGAAGTTTACTAAATTATTATTAATATCTCAGTAGCG